TGTTTTTTGTTTTTCTTGCCTCAGATATTCCAAAACTTAGTGTTTTGTTAATGTTGGGTTGTGCTCTCACTTTGTGCAGGCCAGCACGTCCAGCTTCCTGGGGGAGTGTTTGCTTACACCAGGAGGGAGCCCCTTGGTGTGTGTGTGGGAATTGGTGCATGGAACTACCCCTTCGCGATTGCTGCATTGAAATCTGCTCCTGCTCTTGCATGTGGTGAGTTTCCCAGTGTGTTGCACATTATTATGGTGCTGTAAATGATTACATCTGCCTGTTTAATTAGCAGTCATGTCTCTTGTACCCTTTAGACTCTAACCTGCAATGTTGCATTTGGGCTCTGTTACTAGGTAATGCCATGGTTTTTAAACCCTCTCCAATGACCCCTGTGACTGCTGTGATACTGGCTGAGATCTACAAAGAGGCAGGGGTACCTGACGGGCTCTTCTGTGTGGTACAAGGTGGAGCAGAGACTGGTAGCTTGCTCTGTCATCACCCAATGGCTGCCAAAGTCACCTTCACTGGCAGTGTGCCTACAGGGAAAAAGGTATAGAAAAGGCACAATGAGACAAGAATCAGACAATCACAACTGGCATCCTAGTAGTAAACATTCAAACTGAAGTTAACTGAGTCACCCCTTCCTTTTAAAGCACCTTACAGTTGGTCTTGTCCATTTACCTCAAATGATTTTCAGATTGCATTACCACTGATTATTTCTGAAAAGCATGTTCTAGTCTTAGATTTGAGTTGTTTTAAAGTCACTTCACTGAGACATGAGGCAGTTATTGGATCACTGTAAATATTGGATCAGCGTTTGATTTTGTCAGAGTTTGTTATCTTTGTGTGGTAATGCAAATGTGAGTGAAGCTTGGTTTGGAAAGTTTAACATTTAACAGTGACATCTTTGATCGCAGGTACGGTGTGACTGATAACAGATGTAAAGATGGTGCAATAATATGTGATAAATGAATGGAAAGCACAGAATACAAAATAATATTAGATATACCTGTGCTTTGTCATTATACCTTAAACATGTGGAATACTTGAATTGCTCTGCAGGGCTTCAGATGTCCTTAGGTATATACTGTGTGTCCTCCTTGCACTCAGATCATGGAGATGGCTGCGAAGGGTGTGAAACAGGTAACTCTGGAGCTTGGAGGTAAATCTCCCCTCATTATTTTCAAAGACTGTGAGCTGGAGAATGCTGTGAGGGGAGCACTCATGGCAAACTTCCTCACACAGGGACAGGTGAGCCTGTTGTATTGAATGTCAGTCTTGAACTAATCCATTGGATTCTTGGCTAGTTCTTACTGGTTCACATTTCACTCTGAAATATAGGTTTGCTGCAATGGAACCAGAGTGTTTGTGCAAAGAGATATCATGCCCAAGTTCCTGGAAGAAGTGGTGAGGAGAACCAAGGCCATCCCTATTGGTGACCCCCTGTTGGAGAGCACCCGCATGGGAGCACTGATCAGCAAGCCACAGCTGGAGAAAGTGCTGGGATATGTCAGTCAGGCCAAGAAGGAGGTGTGTCAGTGGTCCTTTGTTAGATTAATGCAGTGACAGTTACTTTTTTACAGCAGGCCCTATGGACAGATCTCAATCATCAGGAGGGCTACAATAAAATGACATGGCTTGCAAAACATGTCTAATAAAGTAATAACAAAACCAGATGATCATGATGTTTTATTGCTCTTTAATTGGAGCAAAGTAAAACA